AGTTTTCGACCAGTATTACCGGTATACGTTTTCGATCACAACTATTCCGTCTGCTTCAGAGGCCTGCAAAAGCCCGTGGAGATGGCTCTCGCGCAAGATTACCGACTTTGTGGAGGACCGTGATCAACGGGACGTTCTAAAGATTGTCTACTACAATGGTCATTCCTACTTAGACGGCAACCGGGAAATGGTGCTCGCCAGGTGAGTACTTCTCAAGTAGCCTTCTCAGGAGGCTTGGAACCTAACGTCTTGCCAGCTCAAAAGACAAGGACAAGGCCGAGACTATCCGGTGGAGTGGTATTCAGCAGGTGCTTGAGGAGGCCTGTTCAGACACTCTGATTGTAATGGACGCCGCATTCTTTCCATCTTCTAAGATGCACCGCCAGCAAGGTGTCTTGGAACTGGTGGCTGCTGCTGTATCCGAGGAGCACTTCGATGCCCTGGATCGATGCACGTTTACCAAAGTTCTCACCGAGCACCTAAAAACACGCGCGTCACAACGATTCACGAGCCCCTTCTCTGCCGCAGAGCTTCACTCAAAACTACTGTCCAATTATCCTTCTCTCGTTCAGGATAGGAACCCTGAAAAGGAAACGATCACCAGCTTTCCGTCTCCGCTCCATATGCAAATGTCCGGAAACGCTCGACTACCCTCAATTCTTCTCGCACCTCTTAACATTGGTCCCTTGAGGACGAGCCTTCCGTTCGGTACAGAAGGTCAGCAACTGGTACTGTCATTCCGGATAGGAGACGAACCGATCGACATTGACAACTGGACCGAATGGCTGAGAATGATGCCCGAGGGTGTCAAGGATGTGAGGGTTGACGGCCCTTTTCGACCATCTAGATAGGTTTCTGGTGGATTGAGACATCCAAGAGACGGGAAGCTGGGTCACTCGAGACGGGCGTCGAAATAACCTGACGGTGCTTTGCCGCCGCATTATACGTTTTATCAATTCTCTTAGTCCTACTTCGACAAAGGACACCATCAGGGGGAAACGACGAGGCTACGGAACAGACCAGACGCTGCGTAGGTTAAAACTTCACTGTCAGGCGCCACAGTTTGAGTTACTCAATGAGTGATCAAACCGACCCGTCTCCGCCGAAACCCCTGTTCCTCTCAGAGCCCTTTGCTGGGCCTGCTTTTACGCGTTAATGACTGATTTTCACGACATTGCATCATTCATACCTCCTCGTTAGGTCTGGGAGGCGAACGGTCGGAGTCGGGAGAGTCATACATATTATTTTTCCACAGCAAACAACCGGGCGTCCTGGTCAATCTACACAGGATTTGGGAGGAGGTCCGGTATTGGGGGCGAGAGATTTCACACAGCCTAGCGAGGAGTAGAGCGTGTGGTATGCTCGGCGTGGGAAATATCACAGGAAAACGGGAGGGGGAGGAGCACAGGAGCCGTGGTTCTTCCAATGGCATTACATGCAGCCTGTTGATGCAGTCATGTTTTACATGGAAGGACGTTTGCATTAGTGGATATCCCCAAATTCGCCTTTTTCAAGACTACGCATCTCTCTCTTCTCTCTCACACACACTCACATTTCTCTAATGAGTCTTGCAAACAGAAGGTCTTGCTTCTTCTCCAGCGTCTCTGGTTTTAACCCCCCCCCCCCCCGTGTAATGAATATGTCCGTGATCCTAATGCTGACCAACTCCAGAGCAGTGTCCTGTTTTCCTGCTCTCAAGGGAGCGACGGTGGTGAAGAAGAGTCCAAACATGCCCTCCTTATCCTCAGAGGAACAATGTAGTTTCAGAAAAAAATGAACCCAATGCCAGCCGTGATGTTCCGTAATGTTGTATCAAAGAAAAGGCCGTTAATGCGCAAAATCTCATGATGAAAACCAAACTCTTAGATCGCCAGCACCAGCACCGCCGCCGCCGCACTCAACACCCCAGTCGCAAAACTGACACCGGTCCTCGCGGCGGGACTATTGGCCTCAATGTTGCCAATCGCAAAGGTGGGGTTATAGTCCACCTCGCGGGTATCGAGCGTACCGTTCCAGCAGTACCGCGAGAAGCACTGCGCGCAGGCGTCGGGCACGGTCTCGCGGGAGCGCGCCATGCTGCGAGAGAGCACGGCGCAGGCTACGCAGACGGGCCACTGGGCGTCGAGGGTCGCGTTGCCCTGGGTGGCCGAGTCGTAGCCGTTTTGGATGATTGCGTCGCGCTGGTCGAGCTCGTAGCTGGGATCGAAAGTCGAGACGTTGGAGTGTGCGACATAGGGAGCGTTGGGGAGGTAAACAACCAAGGGAGGCACGCGCTGGTTGCCCGAGAGGGTGAAGTTTGAGGCGTTGCAGCCAAAGAACGTCGGGCGGCGGTTGAGGCCTAGGTTAATGAAGGTGTTTGCGTCCGGGACGGGGGGGAAGAGGGTGCCGTTTGCGATGGGCTGGGCGACGCGGTCGTAGGTTGCGCGGAGGGCTGTGCCATTGGGCCAGTTGTAGTTTGTGTCGGCGGAGGAGTCGACGGCGAAGATGACGTCGACGGCGCGGTTGGGTTGGATCAGGGGGTGGAGGGGGATGTTTTGGAGGTCTTCGCCGCCGTCGACGAGGGAGAGCTGGGTCTGGTTTGCGTTTACGTTTGTGCGCGGGTTGTAGCCGTAAAAGGGGTTGGGCACGTATTGGGCGATGTCGTTGTTGTCCTGGTCCAGGACGTTGAGGATGGTGGTCAGGGCGGACTGGATGAAATCGGGCAGGCCGGCGGAGGAGAGGTTCTGGAGCATGAACTGGTTGAAGAGGGAGGAAGAGGTGCCCATGACGAAGCCGGCCTGGTCGAAGCCGCGGACGCAGGAGCCGTTGTCCGGGATGCGGCCGGCGGAGAAGTTGGAGGCGAGGTAGCGGAGGGGAGCGAAGCCGTAGGCCGTGTTGTCCCAGGTGCCGAGCTCAAAGGGGTTGAACTCGTAGACGGTAGCGTTGAGAGAGATGATGCGCTCGTTGGGGGCGCGGCCGTCGGCGACGAGGATAGGGAAGGGCTGCTGGCCGGACTGGAAGTCGGGCTCGTCGGCGATGGACGAGAAGGTGTAGGCCGGCCCGCCGTCAGTGGCGTTGATGAGCTGGTAGGAGAGAGCGCGGCCCCAGTAGTCCGTGATGGAAACCTCGAAGCCTTGATCCTTGGTATCGACTTGCTTGGCAACATCTCTCCAGTACTCGGCTGTGTTGAGGATGGAGAGGCCGGATTCTTTGGGGCCCGAGAAGATAGACCGATCGAATTTCCAGACCGCGGATCCCTTTGAGCCGCGCTGCAGGTCGACCACGGAGGAGAAGTTGTTCGTGAAGATGGAGCCGACGAGCCATCCACCACCAGAAAGACCGGCAACGTAAGTGGCGGACTGGAGGAGGCCTCCGATCTGGCCAGCTGATGTCGAGTTGGGGGTCCGGCTGTCTGCGGCAGCAAGGAAGCCGGCGCCGTTCATGAGGGCCCGGTACCCACCACCTGACACGGCAAGGGCGATGTTGGGCAATTGCGATGATGATGAGCTTACACGGTCAATATAGGCACCGGCATCAAAGTTGGGAATGCTGACGCGAGTTAGGAACTCGCGCATGGGTTCGACTGTGGCGTTGCGGCGAAGGGGGAGCCATGCTGTCTCGTTCGGCGACAGGGCCGATGCGGACCGGATTGTAGGACGGGCGGACGGGCAGTCGACGATCGCGGGTGCGTAGCCTCCCGAAGGCGAGTTCGGGAGGGCGCGGGGGTCCAGGGCCTCCATGATGAGCCCGGCCGCCATTGGCTTCACGGGATCAACCGCCCACACCGGGGCAACGGCAGCTGCCACTACCAAAAGGGATGAGAGCATCATTGTATGTGAATCCTCCTTTAGTCCTAGGCCTATTGGAATAGTCGAACCAGAAGCGGTGGTTTTGTAAGTGGGCGAACAGAAGGGAAGCTTGAAAGGGGGTATCAAAAAGAGGATGGGGTTGTGAAAGATATACGAATAACCCAGACTCCAAAATAGAAAAAGGATGGATCGGAAGGGACGGTAGAGATGGGCGACGGATGGACACTACTAGTAATAGGATCCAGCGATTGTCGACCTTGTGGGCATGGCCCAGCGGCTGTGCGGTGCGGCGACTTTGACGGGGATGAGGAAGCTTCGGCCTTTTTCACGGACCCGTCGAGCTAAAGAAGGTTTTCGCCTGGTGTCGGCCGGTATGACGTCGAATTGGAGAGTTTTTGAGTGTGAGCGCGGTCCTTCTTTTTAATCGGACTGAGACGTCGGGATGCCGTGGTCTTTTTTTTTGCTACAAGAGGGCCCCTTGTTGGCCAATGCTTGGTTGCTAATGGAGGAGCGATGCGATTTGACGGGAGGATCAGTTCCTGCGTTATCCAAAGTGGGTGTTGGGATGAGTTGTCAATGGTGAGAGCTAGGATTAGTAGCTGAGCTCCCAATGACCGTTCCCAGACGTGACGACGTTCTGCGAGAACGAAGTGGACTTAAGGTTCGGGAGATAGGCAGATATTCAATCTCAGGGTACTCAAGCGAAAAGAGAGCGTGATCCAGCGGCTATTAAAAGGGATTGCCAACGGCGGAGCATTCCACGATACGACAGTGGAGTCTGAGTCTGTCCGTGAACCTGGACAAGGTCTTTGATTGAGGTGATCTTTGATCTGACCCTGTGTGCCGTATCCGTAAAGTTTCATGTGTGGACTGACGAATAAGAGGGAGATGAGTACTGTGTAACCCGCAGAGCCTGATAAGCTGGGCGTGCTGGGCAGCTGGGGCGGGATGAGATGAGTACGCGGAAATTGTGGCTATGGAGCGAATGGGAAGATCCGGATCACCCGGCTTGGCTAGTGATGATGTGAGGTCAGGATCCAAAGGAGTCTTAGTACTCCGTACAGAGTTGTGGTCTGGTGCCCCAAAGAGGGAATTTGTAAAAGGCAAAAAAGGCGGCCTCTTTTTCTGGGGCGATCAGAAGCTCATTGGAAACAATGTGGAGTCGTAGGGATACGCGGGTGCCGAAGATGAGAGAATATCCGTAAAAGAGTACTACGATAGGGCAGAATTCGGTCCAAGATGCCGACGGGGAGATGAGAAGACAGTGAGCGCCCGGATCCGGATGATGCAAGGAGACGACAAACCCTGTGAGAGATTAGTACAAAACGAGAGAGAAGGGCGAGAGAGCACGGTAGCCCAGGGCGCGATGAGGTCAAGCGCCGCAGTGCTGAAGCGGCGGGTTCCACGGTCTCGGGTGCGGCGTTTTATGAGATGGAACCTGGTCACTCGGTGTGGCATCTCGCATGCCGCATTCTCTGTTCGTACAAATCATGTGCATCCGTAGAGGGAAAAGTACGAATACGTCGCCTTGCTGTCGTGTGCTCGTGCAAGTGTTGTGCTCGTGCCCGAACTGTCAGACTTGAGCACTGCCTTGAGGTGGTTAGCCATCAGTCGCAAGCCTCCTGAGGCGTTTGATGCTGATTCCCCTGCCATCGTCTTCCCCAATCCGGACAATATGTGACATTTCTCCCATCCGTGCTGACCGCAATTCCTCGGCATGCCATCGTATACAATACGGCACTCTGCCTCCTGCCTCCTGCCTCCTTTCAAAGCCCCCGCCATCGAGTAGTGGGCGAATGGCAGCGACAGATTTGTGTGGGTGAGACGAGGCATGCGTCGACACAGCAGGGCCAAGAACGGTGCCTGGAATCGATCGACGGCAACGGAAGAGGCGGAGGCTAACACGGTTGGTGTTGGTGCGATGCGTTGGCCTGCTGTGTGTGTGTGTGTGTGCCTGCGCCATCCCATTGCTGACTCTCATGCTCTGCTGCGGCTGTCATTGCTGCTGCTCGCCGAGGTCGCTGCCCAGCCCTGAGAACACACGGCAACGTAACCCCGATGGAAGTCTGTCGGGAAGTATGGAACGATATCCTACTCATGCGGACCTCTGAGTCTGTCCGAGCCCTTTCCAGGCGGAGCGCGCACTATATACGGAGTTTGTGAGGAGACGGCCTGCTTCGTACAGCCCCAGGTATGCAACTGTGCTTGAGTTTGCCATATTCCTTGAGCCTCGGGTTGCCCTATGGCCTGCATGAGCCTCCCGAGGGTCCAATGAAGGGTCGATCCCGAGCCAGCCACTACCGGAGTTTTGCTTAAGGGCCCCATGGCGTCAGAAGGTGCCGCCGCACCGCATTAGCGAGTGCTGGTGCGGGCAGACAAGCCTGTGTCTAGGGTGTGCCTTGTCAGAAGGGGCAGGCCGGAATAGAGTAGGTTGCAGATTGAGTGCGGGGAGAGAGATGCTCTCTATTGCCTGAGATCTCTTGGATACGTCAAAACGGGACGAGGATGAGTACGCCGTGCTTCGGCCAGGCGCGATTGATGATTCTGCGCGAGGTGGAATGTTTCAGCGTGGCCCAGAAGAGTCCACAGCAAGATCCCCTTTGAGCCACCTCGACGTCAGACGGTCGACACGCCGTTTGCTTGAACCAGGAGCAAGCATGGTGAGCGTTGGATAGGTGTAGGTAACAAAGCGATGCTGGTTCTAACGTCGCGACTAGCCAAATTCCATTCGTTAGAGCCTTATCAAAGAGGTTAGCGGCCTGAGGTCATCGTCACTCGCAAAGTATGTCATTTCTTGTGGATGTCACGGCGAGCGCTCTCTCGGCAGTCTAGGCTTGGCTGTTTGGTGTAGCAGACACGCATCGCTTCTGATGGATGTGGTACAGGTCGCGTGGGAGATGCCGTTGGTAAACGCATGAATTGTATCGTTGTTTATCAACAACACAATCAGGTGTTGATGCACTGCTTGCTAGAGGTCACACTGGCGTGATGGGAGATCCAACATCTTATTCGATGACGCGGTGTAGACTAGGATCGGGCGTGTTCTCGTTGTCAGCGATGTTGTTTTGACGAGCGAACAGAAGAAAAGTAGTAGACGGCTGGCAGATATCGGATCGCCAGGTGTCAAGGGTTTCCAGGGTCGAGCACCTGACATTTTGTGGAGTTTTCCCGGGAAAGGGCTGCAGCGTTCCGAAAGTGGACCCCTTTTGGAGGTTGACATGGCAACGGCAATTACGCGAAGCTCCATATCAACAAAACCCTCCGCCCGCTCTTCCCTGACTTTGAGCTTCCAGTTCAACCATCGCAGCATCATGTAAATAAACGACAACATACTCTCGACAACCACAGTGTACTAATCCAACCAGCAAACACAACCAACATCCGTTCTATCTCATCTTTGTTTTTTTTGCACTCGCCCTCAAACCCCACGCACACACAAGATGGAGCCTCAATCACCCCCTAAGCGTATTACGCGCTCCAGAGCTGCAAAGACTGCCGATACCACGACCAACACTAGAGCTACCAAGATCGTGACCGCTGCGGCCAAGGCGAAAGCCAGCGTTTCTGCCCCGACGCGATCGACCTCAGCGAAGAGAAAGACACGAGCCGATGATGCTGAGGAGGAAGAGCACACCGAAGAAGCACAGCAATCCGAGGACGCACCTCGTGCCACAAGAGCTACCAGAGGCCGCCCCAAGAAGACAGAAGAGCCTGCTATACCGGCAACAGCATCCTCATCATCAAGTGGTGTTCCTGGCCGAGCAACTCGTGCACGAGCTGCTGCGCGCCAGGTTTCTGGCACACTTCCCTCAGCTCCCAAAGATGAGCCAGTAAAGCCCACCCGTGGCCGGCCCAGAAAGGTGGCAGCTGAAGAATCTGCCTCTAAGGCAGCGGAGCCGGTGAAGAAGACGACGACGCGTACTCGCGCCGCACCAGTCACAGCAGCAAAGCCCGCCGTCAAGAAGACGGTAACATTCCAAGAACCCGAAAAGGAAAACATCGCTCCTGACGCAAGCAAGAAGACGACCGAGAAGCCCGCAGCTACCACTGGTCTCAGGGGCAGACCAGTACGAAAGCCTCCCGTTCCCAAGGCACCTCGATCGACCAAGTCCGCCGCCGCCGCCGCCTCCACCGCCACGAAGACGGACAAGACTCCTTTGAGCCCTAAGAAGGTTACTCAGGTCCCAATGCCTCGCGACTTCTCCGATGACGAGTTGGCCGGCCCGGACACACCCCCGCGACCAATGATGAAGAGCCCGACAAAGCCGCCCACTGGTGCCCTCGGATCCTCCAAGAAGCTCAACTTGCTGCCTGCCGATAAGACTTCCGACTCAGAGCAGTTCCATGATGACGAAAACTCCACCAAGCCTACGGAGAAAGAGGATGAAGTCACAAATGCTCTTGCTTCTCCCGCCAAGAGACTTCCCAACTCGCCTTACCGGGACTCGATGAAGTCCCCGGCTAAGCGTGCTGAGGGAGTGTCTCTGAAGCCTGCAGCATCACTACAGGCGAGCGGCGAGAATGGTGCCGCATCCTCATTCAAGTCATCTCTGCTTCAGTCGCCGGCCAAGCGTCCGCAGTCCGCCATCAAGCCCTTTGCTCTGCCCTCGACCAATGAGGGCGAGAAGAAGGTTTCCAACTTCAAGGCTTCTCTGCTTCAGTCACCAGCCAAGCGACCCTTGTCTCCTATCAAGGGTATGACCGCAAAGCCCATGGAGCGACTGGAAGAAATGCAATCTCCCGCCACAAAGCCTCTGTTGCTGTCCACACCCACTGCTCTGCGCCCTGTCAAGCGATCTTCCGAAAAGCTCATGGCTGAAGAGTCGCATGCCGATGCCGAGGATGACGAGGAGCTTGATGAAGTCGCCGAGGCCATGCTCAACGAGTCCATTCATTTGGAAGAGCCGATGCAGTTCCCCGGTCGCCTTTCAGCTGTCTTGCCAAGGCATGCCGACCCCGTTCTCAAGAAAAACATGCCTGTTCTGGAAGCCCCCACTGAAGAACTGAAGCCGGCTAAAGAGATTGACCATGTTCAGCAGTCAGAGGGACCTGCAGAGGATGATGTCTTTGTTGACGGGGCTACTGAGGAGGGTTTGACTTCGGACGGGGAACCTATGATGGTCGACGACGAGCCTTATTTCCAGCCTCAAGCCGCGGCTGCACCTCAGCTCACTCTTCATGCCCCCAGCGGCATTTTCGGCCTCCGCCAGAAGGATATGGACCCGTACGGCAACATGGAGTCTGACTCTGATGATGAGCTCGCCAACAGCCCCAGAGTTTCTTCAGCTCACAACATGGTTCTTGCCACCCCCGCGAACTCTCGACGAAGCATGGCCAAGTCTCGGGTTTCCAGTGTTGGCTTCACTCCCTTGGCGGACCAACTCAACGCTTGGTCTGCTGCTAGCCCTTCCAAGACACCGAGACGCCCCGTCACTCCTGGACGCTCGGGTGCTGCCACTCCTCGCGCCGAGGATTCTCCCCTCCGAAGCACTTACTTTGAGGATGAGATGACTGTGCGCGCCGATATGGACGCTCAGAATGAGATTGAGGCTGCTATTGAGGCCGAGATTTCCGCCTCTGCTGAAGCCGAAGATCCCGAGTTTGACGACCTCATGGTCACTGAGGAGGACATGGCTCTTGCGGCTGAGGCCAACGAAATGTCTCTGATGGAGCCTGAGGAGATTGATGAGATTGTCAACACGTCCAACAGCTTTGATGACACTCTCTCTGAGGCAAGCCAAGAGTATGGCGACGAGAACGACATGCCCGTTGACCCCGCCATGTTCGGCGGCGATGCGTATGTCCCCCCAGTGACTCCTAACCGCATTCTGGCGCGCGAGTTCTCCACTGTCTCCAAGGTTCCTTTGAAACCTGCCGATGAGTCGACTCCTCGTCCCAAGAAGAAGCGTGCTGCCAGCATTTCCCGACTCCCAGTCAGCCGTCCAAGCCTGAACAGGAGTGCTACCGTCATCTCCTACTCGCCTGGCAAGACTCACAAGGATGAGGACGAGCAGAACGATAACGAGCTCGACTCTGCCCCCGTCACTCCGGCCAAGTCTGATGTCTGGTCGAGCCTCGGAACACCGGCGCGTACTCCCCGCCGGGACCTCAACCCAGGTCTCCTCCGTGGTGCCGTCGTTTTTGTGGATGTGCACACCACCGAGGGTGCGGACGCCAGCGGTATCTTTGTCGAGCTTCTCGGTCAGATGGGAGCGCGATGCGTCAAGACCTGGAACTGGAACCCAAGTGCTGCTGGCAACTCGGATGCCTCAAAGATTGGCATCACCCACGTCGTCTACAAGGATGGCGGCAAGCGCACTATGGAGAAGGTCAGAGAGTCCAATGGTGTTGTGCAGTGTGTCGGCGTGAGCTGGGTTCTTGAGTAAGTGTCTTCTAAGTCCTTTTGAATGCTGTCTGGCTAACCCATCGACACAGCTGTGAGCGTGAAAACGAGTGGCTCGAGGAGGCGCCATACTACATCGACACCTCCATGGTTCCCCGCGGAGGCGCGCGCCGTCGCAAGAGCATGGAGCCCACAGCGCTCGCCAACCAGAACGGCATGCTTGTTCCCACGCCCGTCAAGGCTGGTCGCGATGCCAAAACTGCGCCCAACACGCCCATGAACCGACGTGATAGCACGGTGTGGATGCACACCCCTTCAGACGAGGCTGAGGACGACGACGATGACTGGCAGGGCCTGATCTCTCCGGTTCCCGTCACGCCTGCGCCTGAGGCTCTTGCTCGGTATGCTGCAGAGACGCCTTCGGGGATGACTGAGTATGACTCTTCTCCCACCAAGACTCTGCACATGCAGACCTGCCCTCCTAAGCAGAATACCTTTGTCCAGATGGGCGAGGGCATTCTCAACAGAGACAAGGACGAGAGCGTCATGCAGCGCCTGATGGCGGCTCGCAGAAAGAGCTTGCAGTTTGCGCCCAAGATTGGAAGCCCCTTGGCCAAGGCCTGGCGCTAGATGTTGATTATTTTGCAATTGGTTTGTGGTTCTTTGTCCACTCAGGCCTCGGTCCAGATGCGACGGGATTGGTTTTAGACGGCGTTTACACCGGATATGGGATGCGGATTCCCAAGGGACTGGATCAAGGTGTTTAGGTTATTAGATTGGTTGTACATCAGAACATACGCTGCGCTGCGAGGGCAGCGTTGATTGTCTTTGGAACACAATTTGAAAGGACTCTTTGATTGTTCGTCTTTCACTTTCAGATTTAAAGTCCCCTCCCGTTGGCAAGCTTGACGTGATGCTTGTTTGCAGTAGAGGATATCTCAAGTCCCCTGACCCTTGTCCGTATCTGGCAAGGTGACGCATGTTGGCCGCGCGTTCTTTTGATTGGGCCAACCAAAGTCCCGACGTCCCACGTCCTAGAGACCACATGCTTGACTTGACTCGAGGGTGGCATTGACTGATTGATAAGGAAGATCCATCCGACACACATGAGACTCTGAGCTTTGATACCCATTTAGATTGTGGCGAAGATGATAGTCTAGACTTTTTTGCTTCTTTTTCTTTGTTGTGATTGCTCATAGATCTCGATTTGCACTCTACAGAATCTACTCTGAAGAAGATGCGGTCACTGCGAGCCTTGACGGCGTCGCTGCTCGCTGCCCAGTACGTCGCCGCCGACGCCTTCGCGGCCGATGAGGTACAGAAACCCGTGGGTGTATCATCGTCATCATATCCGACATCGCAAGACGGACCCGGCTCTTCATCGCCCAAGAGCAGCGATGACGGTGGCCCATCGTCATGGTATGCCAGACTGAACTACTCGTCACCGGCGCCGCACCTGTTCGCTTCGGCGTACGGTCTGCTCCAGCAGTGGAGCAACACCGTGTTCCCCAACGGGCACACGATGGCGGCGGTGGAGGTTCCCGCGTTTACGCTGTTTTATCACGGGCGGATGGACGAGGAGGATGTGCCGAGTCCGGAGTGGCTTGCTTTTGATATGTGAGATTTTTTTCTTTTTTTGTCGGCAGCACTTTTCCCCATGTCCGTGCGTGGACTCTCATGGCGGTGGTGATTTTGAGTGATGTGGGTTGATGTGTAGTGTGTTCGTGTGGTCATGATGAGAGTCTGATGGGCGAAAGTAACCTCCTTCACCTGGGCTCGGCGAGCTGACACGGGAGGATCCTTGCAGAGAAATGGCCTATGGCATCATGGGCAGCACACGCCAGAGCTTCATGCTCACGTACCAAACCACGCGGCCCGTGAAAGCGCTCTACTTTGACGGTGAGTCCGCGGCGCTGATGGGGCTGGGACAGCTCGACACCCAGATGCTGCATCTCTACGGCAACGTGTCCGGCCCGGGGAGTAATGGAGGAGGTCCGTGGCGCGGGTTGGAGCCCGAGTACGAGAGGGCCATGGGGCTCTGCGACTGGTTGCTGGAGAAGGGACTACGGGGGCCCGGGTGGGGGTTTGAGGGGGTTGTGAGGATGAATACGGGGTTCGAGATGATTTGGTGTGATTTTGGGGGCGGTGGGAGTTTGAGGTTGGTTGGGAGGGGAAATGTTACTGCGCCGCAGTTGAGGAAGGAGGACGACGATGATGATGGGAAGAATAGGACGGAGAGGGATGAGGTTGAGGGATCCGTGAAGAAGGCTGGTGAGAGGTTGCATGGCGAAGAAGGGGTCCCGACGTCGGTGTACCCGCTCCCGCCGCAGCCTACACTAACAGACCGCCCCGTGAGCCCTTCCCGTCCACCGATGCCGCCCAACTGGCGCGGGATCATGGGTCCCGCCGAGCGGGAGCCGTTCCTGCAGACGCAAGGGTGGGGATGGTTCGCCTCGGCGACGTGGCACTACGGGTCCAACGGCCTCGGACAGGGTAAAGGGGAGACGCGGGCGCGGGTGCTGGGGTGCGGGATCACGAGCTGGTACGCGGATCGGTTCTGGGGGTCCGTTGCGGAGGAGGAACGGGCGAGGTTGAATCTTACTGCGGAAGGGTATTGGAGTGATAGAAAGAGTGTTGGCAACCGGAGTGAGGCGTTGGCGAAGCTTGGGAGGCGGAGGAGGATGCATCATTTGGAGAATGTGACGGCGGAGGCGGCGGCGGGGATGAGGTGGGAGACGGAGGTGATGTTGAGGGACGCGCTTGTGGGCGAGGGGGGGTGTAGTGGGATGGAGTGGGTGAGTTCCATGGGGGAGATTGTGCAGCGGACGGCTGGGCATTTGATGGTCATGGAGGAGGGTGCAAGGTTCGGCGGCGATGGCAGTGACTGGAGCAATGTGACGGCGGTGAGAGAGTGGTTATACAAGTTGCGTGGGCAGAGCCACATGTTCCTCGTCTCGTTTCTGGAGTATCCGCGCGAGATTGATCGGCAGACGTGGGATGTCCAGGGCGCGCTGTTTGCGGAGACGTATTCGCGGTGTCGGTACCGGTATACGAGGTTGATGGTTGATCTACCGCTGAGCGTGAGGGAGCGGGATCTGAGGGGCGCCGTGGGGGAGGTCATGGGTGGGATCTGCGGGGTGTTGCTTGAAGTTGGTTTCGGTATCGAGAGGGCGTGGTATGATCTCGAGCGAGTCGAGACGTCGGAGCTGAAGGCTGCGAGCGGCGAGTGGGCGGATGGGGTGAGGCGACTCCGGGCGTGGGTCGGTTGGGAAGGGGAGTTCATCCGGTGTCGGGATGTGTGCGGGTGGGATGAGCGGTGCTATATCCCCATGTGGCCGTTGTTGAGGTCCATGTGGGGTGGCAGGAGACCGAGGCCACCGCCGGAGGGTGGATCAGGGAACGGGACGGAGCCTGGATATGGTCGGCCGCCGCCGCCGCCGTATCGGGGTCGGGGACCTGGGTACGGTGGGAACCATACCGGGCCGCCTGGGCGTGGGATGCCGGGGCGGAGTCCGATATGGATGGGCGATGAGACGGATTTGTGGGAGCCGAAGTGCGTCAAGATGGAGGATATCATGCCCAGGACGAGGGGAGACTAGATTTCGTGTCATCAGTGAGTCAATGTGAATGCTGTTCATGGTTCAGCTTTGTGTATCAATGTCAGTGACGGCAAGAAGCCGACGTTCATCGAGGTGTTAAAGCCGTCAAGGGCGTAGTCTGGTTCAAATCGAATCACGCTGAGCACGCAGTCTTGGTAGAAACGAGGGATGTCCCATGCAGTCCACTTGAGAGGAAGGGCGTCCAATTCTATTTGAAGCTCGAGACTTTGGTCATCTGATCTAAAGACCATAAAAGTTAGCCTTGCCGTGGTAGGGAATTGTGCCGAAAAGCGGACAGAGACGAACCATTGAATAAAATGTGTAATCCTGGGCCTCAACAAACATAACCTAAAACTTTTACTCCGAAGTCTATAACCATGCCAGCCGTCGGCCGCCTCGATCATTCATGAGCGCAAGTACGCTTTCATCGCCTTGACAGCGTCTCCGTCGTTGGCCTTGAGCAGCTCCGTCGCCTTGGGCTTGGTGAGCTCCAATTCGTCAACCTATGTCCTTGTCAGCTTGTATCCCTTTGTCTCATTCCCAACTTTCGTCAAGTCTCAACATCCTCTCATGATGGGGGCTCCCCTCTCTCGACCGTCTTCCATCGCGCGTATCAGGTGGGTAGGTTGACTAACCAGCAGGGCAACATCGGCGGCATCGACCTTAACGTTCTTCACCTCCTTCTTGGCAGCGGTGGCGCCACCAAGACCCTTGATCGCCTTCTGGGCGGCATCGACATCGACCTGGCCGCTTCCCGAATCGTCGCCGCCGGCATCGAGGCTGGCGAGGGCGGACGCCGCCTTGCGGTCCTCGGCTGACTTTGCGGGCTGGACCTCCTCCTCGACATCGCCGGCGGTGGCACCCTCGACGACGGTGGGGGGCTGCTTCTCAGACATTTTGTGCAAGGGATTATACCGGCGATTGGATGTTCGGTCGATTCGGGGGCCTTTGGGTCAGGATTCGAGGGGCGAGACTATGATCGTGTGGTTGAAGAGCTGTGACGTTGTGTGGACAGTCGAGCACCACGCAGCGCAGAGACAGCTCTTTCCCGTTGGAATCGAATTTGTGGTGGGGCAGGTTTAGGTGGGGGCGGGGAGGGGGAGCTACCTTATAGTACGTACCTTACCTTCCGACACCTTTCCGCAGATGAGGGGAGGTGTGCGGCGTGCCGCTTACACCGATGGTGAGCGTTCGAGGTAGGTCGGTACGCCTCGGCATAGCGTTGCCCTGGAGGAGGACAATGTACAACTTTATTTCTCAGGTTTAGCACCAGACGGCGACGCACACCACAAACTCGACACACAAACACGCAGGGTTTGACGGATGGTCTGGTTCCTGAATTTGCTTTGCTCTCTTCGGTTCCGTCCCTCTCGTTTCCATTGGTCAATTTCAAGCAAAGCAAGCACACCGTTGCAGGTGAACAGGCCCTTGCCCGTTATTAAGGATTTTTCTGCTCGCATTCATCCCACTCACCGGTCCAATTCACTTCCTAGTAAGGTAGGTACAGCGGAGTATCCAGATTCGATCACTTACTGTACCATGCGCCTTTGAACCAGTCATCCAGTTTGCTGTTGACTCACCAAGGTACATATGCCAGGACTCTTGCCCTCTTGTCATGACTTTCAAGTTGAATCATTTTGAAAGCCGGTGCGAATTCTTCCCCAAGTTGACTTACCTACTCTTTCTCCAGCTTCCCTCTACGTCAGTTTTGGCGACAAACCAGCCCGGCACCACTTGACTGTCCACAACTCCATCTTGAGTCACCAACACAGTCACCGACACAACACATCACACCATGTCTTCCTCCGCAGAATGGTCGCCCGACTCCTGGCGCTCAAAGCCCATCAAGCAGGCTCCCGCCTACCCAGACGAAGCCGGCTTGAAAAATTCCGTCAAAGAATTGGGACGGCTACCCCCCATTGTCCACCCAAAGGAGATTGTCGCACTCAAACAGCACCTTCGTGATGTGGCACTCGGCGAGGCTTTCCTGCTCCAGGGCGGTGACTGCGCGGAGCTGTTCGACTACTGCGAGCCCAATGCAATCGAGTCAAAGATCAAGCTGCTGCTGCAGATGAGTCTGGTTCTCGTTTGGGGTGCCGACAAGCGCGTGGTGCGCATTGGCCGTATGGCTGGCCAGTATGCCAAGCCCAGATCGAGCCCTACAGAAATGGTTGACGGTGTGGAGATGCCTTCATTCCGCGGTGACATTCTCAACGGCTTCCACGTTGATGAGCGTGAAATTGACCCGCAAAGACTCGTGAAGTGAGTCATGCAATGAAGACAAATCATGTGTCACCACCAGAGCTAACCAACACCAAAGGGCCTACCAGTATTCTTCGGCAACCCTCAACTACATCAGAGCATGCCTCTCATCAGGCATCGCCGATCTCCACAAGCCACTGGACTGGGGCCTGGGCCATGTCCGGGACCCGGAGCTCAAGAGGAAGTACTCCGAGGCCGTCCTCTCCCTCACAGACATGCTCCGCTTCCTCCACACCATCGGCGCCGACCGAAGCGACAAGCTGGACACGGTCGACCTCTTCACCAGCCACGAGGGCCTCCTCCTCGAGTACGAGCAGCCGCTGACCCGCCTCCTGGAGACGCCCGTCCCGCGTCCCACAGCAAACGGCAACGGCCCCCGGAACGACAGCAGCAGCGGCCCCACCGAGACTAAGAAGGAGTACTACGACACCTCGGCCCATTTCCTCTGGATCGGCGACCGCACCCGGCAGATCGACGGCGCCCACGTCGAGTTCTTCCGCGGCATCGCCAACCCGATCGGCATCAAAGTCGGACCCACCACGCCCGTGGACGACCTCCTCGCCCTGCTGCGCGCCCTCAACCCGGACAAGGAGCCCGGCAAGATCACCCTCATCACGCGGTACGGCGCCTCGAAAGTGCGCTCGCTGCTGCCGGCGCACATCCGCGCCGTCGAGGACAGCGAGTACCACCGCTGCGTGGTCTGGCAGTGTGACCCCATGCACGGCAACACGGTCTCGACGGGCGGCGGCATCAAGACGCGGCGCTTCCGCGACATCTTTGAGGAGCTGCAGGAGACGCTGCGCATCCACAAGGAGCAGAAGAGTTACCTCGGTGGCGTCCACCTCGAGCTCACTGGTGATGCCGTGACGGAATGTCTGGGTGGTAGCGAAGGGCTGGACGAGGATGATTTGTCGACCAACTACACGAGTTTCTGCGACCCGAGACTCAATGAGAAGCAGGCGCTCGAGTTGGCATTCTTGATTGCGGATCACTACAGGAACGAGAGAAGACCGGTTTTGTAAAGCGGCGGTCTTGGAGTTAGCAGAAGTACATTTAGCAGCGGCATCTGGACATTCGGGAACAAAAATTGATCATGGAAAGTTCTTCTTTCGCACCTGAGATGAATTCATCTTACATTCAACGTAGCTCATGCCACTAATACCAGGCACGCTTGCCTTAAATGACCTGACAGTCATGGCGTAAATCCCGGGGTAAGCCACAAGCACCACCACTCTTTTACATACCTGCGGAAACCCGTGGGACACATGGACCTCTAAATACCACGAACCCACGGAAGAGGAATCGATTTGATAATGAAACATGCAACCGCAGCTGGACTGCGTCTCAGCTCACCTTGGACCCAACATGCGGGGAGGCCCTGGTGTTGTTGGTTGTGGTCCACCGGCTCACCGACGCGTTCACTTTCCCAGCAGGGAAGTTTCAGGCGGATATCAGCGGGCCAAAGATAAGGTGGCAGGCGAGGTACCTCTCCTCACCTTAAGGTGCCCTACCCTTAGTAGGCTCTAGAGTCTGTACAGCGCGCCTTACGCCCTTTTACCCCAGCGGCCGATAAGGGGAGCGGGGCTTCCCCGCGACTCCGCCGGCTACCCGTGACCGAGCGTGTAAGTACCTTGACCCCAACGCCGGGCTCTTCTCTTTCTCTCCTCTCCCTTGATAAGTCCCAAGCTCTCATCTTGCATCCATCGTCTTTCAACAAACCTTCACACTCTTCTCACTCGACATTGTGGGGTTTCATAGAGTTAAAGCCAGCCTCACCTTTCTCTCATAGTCGTAGTCACAACCTTGCAACACATACCTAGTACTAAGTACGCTACACACATACAAGATGGTCTATCCATTCGACTATCTCCAACACCGTCGTGACTGGTCTGTCATCCCACCCGTGCCTATAACCGCAAAACCCCCGAGGTTCAACTAACACCAAGAAAACAGCAACTTCAAGCAATCCGAACGCGCGGACAGAATCCGCCGCCTCACGGCCTACAAAGGCCCCTTTTCACAACAAGACCGCCAGATCCTGGACAAACCCATCGAGGAACTCGTCCAAGATGTCCACAAGACCGTCCTCCAGCCCATCGACATTCTCAAAACCTACGGTAAAGTAGCCTTAAAGGCCCACGAGCGCACAAACTGCCTCACCGAGGTCATGCTCGAGTCCGCCGAGAAGTGGGTGGCCGACGGCTCCGTCAACCTCAAGGGCCCGCTGGCCGGCATCCCCGTCAGCCTCAAAGACACAATCGTCGTCGGCGGCTACGACACCACCGTCGGCTTCAGCAGCTTCGTGGGCAACAAGACGGCCGCCGACGGGCCCGTCGTCCGCCTCCTCAAGGACGCCGGCGCCGTCCCCTACGTGAAGACCAACCTGCCCATCACCCTTCTCAGCTTCGAGTCCACAAACGACGTCTGGGGCCGCTGCACGAACCCGCACAATAGCCGCTACTCACCCGGCGGCTCCACGGGCGGCGAGTCCGCGCTCCTCGCCATGGGCGGACGCATCGGCATCGGCAGCGACGTCGCGGGCAGCGTGAGGGCGCCGGCGCACTTTTCGGGGTGCTACAGCCTCCGCTGCTCCACGGGCCGGTGGCCGAAGCTGGGCTTCTGCACGAGCATGCCGGGCCAGGAGGGCGTGCCGTCCGTGTACAGCCCCATGACGAGGACGCTCGACGACCTGCGGTATTTCACGCGCGTTGTGGTGGGGATGAAGCCGTGGGAGTACGACTACAGCGTTCACCCGCTGGCGTGGCGTTCCGAGACGGAAATGACGTGGCTGTCCGACAAGAAGAAGCTCCGCGTCGGCGTAATGCGCACCGACGGCGTCGTCGACCCCAGCCCGGCATGCCGGCGCGCGCTGGAGATGGTGGAGAATGCGCTACGCAAGCAGGGCCACGAGATCGTCGAGATTAGCCCGCCCTCACCCTACGAGGGTCTTAAGATCGCCGCCCTCGCGCTCAACGCCGACGGGTGCCAGATGTTCAGCACCTTCTTCCGCACGGGGGAGTGGAACGACCCGGGCGCTGCGCAGATGAAGTTCCTGATGAACCTCGCCAGTCCCTTGCGGTATCTCTACTACCTCTGGGTGAAGTACGTCCGCCGCGACGACGTCTGGGCGGGCCTCGTCCGGGACTGGCGGCCGCAGTCGGCGTTTGAGAACTGGAAGCTCGTCGCGCGGCGGGAGGCGTACCGGAATCAGTGGTTCGAGTGGTGGAACAAGGCGGATGTGGACTTTTTGATCACGCCGCCTAATGCTACGCCTGCTGTGCCTCATGACGGGATGAAGGATGCGTGTAGTAGCTGCGGGTACACGTTCCTCTTCAACCTGGTGAGTTTGTGTGACTCCTTTTCCATCTTTGTGGGGGATTGTGAGTGGCTAATTAACTATCTAGCTCGACTACACCGCCGGCGTTCTCCCCGTGACACATGTGGACAAGGACCTGGATCAGCTTCCCGCGGACTTCAACATTAAGAAGCTCAATGGCGTGGCGTACGGAGCGTATAAGCTGTACGATGCCAAGGACATGCACGGCCTGCCCGTCGGCGTTCAGGTTGTAGGAAGGAGGTTGGAGGAGGAGAAGGTGCTGTCACTGATGCAGAGGGTGGAGGATGCTTTGGGCGA